CATTTCCCACCGGAGAAGAGACATTGAAACGATCTCCTTAAATGTAGCACTAGCTCTGAAAGATACCCCTAGTCTTGTGGTGCTTCCTGGGCTGAAACGCACGGTCCGTGAGAAGTGGGACCGTTTGGTGCCTTCGCTGCTATGGTGGATTTATTTATGATTTTCTTCTTTGCCAATGGCAGGCTCTACAGGACGTTCAAGGACAGCAAGTACCTGTACATGCTGATGGAAGCCTGTCTAGGTGGAGAGCTCTGGACAATTCTCAGGGACAGGTGAGTTGTAAGAAATTATTGTCCTACAAAGTGGAATATTTTCCAGTATGCCTCCAGATAACCAAAGGTCTTTATCTTTCATGGACAAAATCTGCATCTTCCCATGCTGTGTTTGATTTAAGATCCCAGAAAGGTGAGGAGCTGGTTTTGTTCCTATGAAGTTGACTAGAGACAAAGTGAATCGGTTAGAACTGAGAATAACGACTGATTTAGGTTGTATCCAACATGTACAAGGCTTTCTGTAAATGCAGACTTATCCAGAGCTACTTTGTCACGGCCTCTCTGAAAAAATATAGAAGGTCGTGACAGTAGCGATGGTAGCCATGTAATAAATTGCATCTGCGACCAGTCTTTGACTGCCCTTTCCCTGTGTCTTCATCTCCAAAGCCTAATAAAAAGCCTTCATCATCTAAAGCCGTCATCTCTAAAGCCCCTGAATAGCCGGCAGCATACTTTCATGTTAATCAAAATAATTAATTAATTAATTAATTTAATTTTTAGCTATCTACAACTACCTTTTGCAACCACAGAAATTACGGCTGTGTCCTTGGTGCCTATATTGTCGTTTCTCACATTTGAGAGCCTGGCCGGAGGCTCAGGCTCCTGTTGGGGAAACGTGGGACTGTCTTAGAGGTGACAAGACTTTGGGTATGACGGCAGCGAATGACCCTGCAGGTTGCGGCCAGGCGTGGCAGGAGGGGCAATGTCAAGGCCAGTCTCGCTGCATTTCTGCAAGAC